CGAGTAAGGACTGGAAACCAAATGCACTTAAAGCCTGGGCCAAGCCGGGACTCGAACCCAGGCCTCATTGGTGCAAAGCAAGGAAAGAACCGCTACGCTTACCCGCTCCCCCACCTTGGTGCTGGTGTCTGCTCAACTCAATTTATACAATTATTTGCTGCGTTCACTTTTTCAGTTTTATCTTCCGTCTCCAAAGCAACGTTTAGCATCACCGTGGCCAATATGAGAAATAGAAACATTGGCCTGATTGGCTTGTGGTTTGGTACCAGCCTGTGGTTATTTTGTTAGGCTGCACATGGTTATCTATTGACACAAACCTGTTATAAAGTTTATTCCTCGCATGTCCATGTCGTGCAGGTGGCAATAATCAACCACAGAGCAATTTTGACCTACTAGGAGGGTTTGGAGGGCCACCCATGACACAACCCACCACACAACCCATGACACAACCACAGACACAACAGCCCTCGGGGTCAACAGACTGGGGAGATTTTACAAGTGCACAGTATGTACCTTTCAATTATCTTACACCGTTTTCTTTACCTGCTGTAAGTCTTTGACCGTGTGAGCAGAAACCATGCTCCTCTGGGCAATAAAGCAATGCTGCCCTGCACTTTAACAATACCGACTGCCAGTCTCTTATTTTGAACCATGTACTTTACGTTGATCTCTGATCTCTTCATTTTCAGCTGGGGATTGTCCAGATGTTAAATATGAGGCAAAAGTGTGATGCCTTTCCAATTGGCTTTTAGCAGTATTAAGTTAAAAACTGATTGTGGAACTTAAGAAAAACTGAACTCTAAAAAGTGTGGAGTCAAATCTGACAGTGGTGCACCTGGGAGAGGGGGGCTCTTGGGGGCATGAGCCCCCTCCCCAGGTCTTTTATTTTCTGAAAAGCTACACTGTAAGATACAAATTACACCCACTTCCCTAGTGGCGCAACCGGGGGGGGGGAACCTTGGAGCATTTGGGGGTAAATTCTGTACCCATGATTTTGCACTACAACCATGATAACTAGGCATCATAGGACAACAGCAAATCCCGGGTGCACCATGGGACATTAAGTTAGTCATGTCAGATAGGCCCCTTCCAACAACAAATCCAGTGTGCACCACAGAAATCTGACATGCTCGATCATAGATAAAAGTTATGCTATTGTAACAACTTCCATCTTCTGCGATTTCTCTTGTTCAGAACTGGGAGCAGCAATCCTGGCTGGGTGACATTTTGAGTTCGCACTGATGGCCAATCAGAAGCCAAATAACAGTAGGTTGAAGCAGCTCATCCAAGTATCTTTGTGCTTTCACACCCAAGTAGATGTCACAGCTGCACAATTGGCTGAAAGGATCTGTGTGGGCGGAGCCAAAGCTCTTGCAACTTGCATTAAACAACCCGTCGTCCAATCTCTGCTTTTGTCACAGTTTAGGCATTGTAGCTCCAGTAAAGTGATATTCTATTGGGTGAAGCAGATTTAAGCAAGGAATTGTCCAAATCGGTGTTGATATTTATAAGGAAAAGATTGGTTTAAAAGTCTAACCATCAATTTTGGAAAATCAGACGTGAGGAATTGCTTTTTCTAAATAGCATATTGTACAAATGTAACATAGTTGGAGGGGAAGCGAGTACATTTATGCCATAGTTCCCACAGATTTTAGGAGATTGCAAAATAATTTGATATATGTGCAGTTCACAAAGGAACTGATGATGGTCAATCTACTTGAAATAAGCCATGTGATGTTTATCATGTAGCATACGAATTGAGCAAGTTATTTGTGCAAAAAATAAGTAAATTTGAATATGAAATACATTCCAACCCATTGCAAATCATAATTGAGGTACATTATGCAGCAAGACATGGAAACGTTTTACTCACTGACATAATATGAACATGTCACGCAGAAAGAGAACACAACCAGTTTCTGCCCCACTTAAGCATTCAGCCAATGAAGATGCTTAGCTAGATCATAACTATGCATCAAGTGCATGCATAGCATGAATATTCAACAGCACTCTAATCTGGCTTCCCTCGTGCAGTAGCTGTAGGGATTGTAAATTTGGGACAAAAAGTTGGCGGGCAAGTTACCCCAAAGTCTCATGTCGTGTATTGTACAAAAGGGGATCAGGAATCCTTGTATGCAGATGCAGATGTACAAAAGAATTTGATTTTGAGTGTCGGGTACCGTAGGCATATGGTTCTATGCCTTCATGCACTTCAATACAAAGTACTGTACATTTTTATTTTCACTGTACCAACCAATCTATGAGGCACATGGAAACTTGTAACTCTTCAGCTTATGTTATTAAACTTACTGTTTTAACGAACGGTTCACTGCCTCTGTTGAGAGAGACCTCTCTGGTTCATACCGTGTTGTTTGCAGTTCGCAGCAACACGGGGCAGGCGTTCGGTGATTGATGGGACAGTTTTGACTGCTTCAAGCTTATGTTACAGTCAAGTCTGTCTCTGGTCATAGCAAGCCGTCACTAGTCAGCTCTAGATGGTCCAATCACAAGCTATCGTAATGAACAGGGACAATCTATCATAGTTAGTCCCTCTAGTCCTTGCCATCTGACTTGTGACAGGACTTGTGATGGGTTGGACTTAATTGCGCCCTGCCATCGTTAGTGGGCCCGTATGCAGTACATTTTGCCTTGTCTTTCAGCTCATGATCCAGGGTGCAAAACAGGCCTTTGACTCAACTGTACGGCCGTGTCCGAAACGGGCTTCCAGAGGTCTATTGTCTGTGCGTCTCCGTGCATTTCCAATGGAACGAAGACCTAGACCTAGCTCTAGACAACAGAGTCTGATGCAGCCTAAACGAAGCCATCAAGAAACTCAAAAGGTTTTTCACACAGCTCCCACAGCACAGAAACTTGCATAGCACAGAATGACGTATGCTAATAGATAGAACAGGTTACCAGCCGAAGTACCATACGCAACATATACCCTACCATACGTTACTGCTTCCCTGCTCATTTATGCTTGGAACACGAACTTGCAAAGCGTTGCTTTCTCCATGGGACCTCCCTGACGTTGGGCGCTCATCTAAAACAATTTCGCCAGGACTTTCTGCAGAACTATGAGACTTGACACACCTTCAGGAAACATGTTGGTTTGGTTACAGATAAACATTATACATGTGCTTTGAAAATCGGTACAGTTATTTCAGAATGTCAACCGTATGTTCAGTTCTTTTGCTTGGGGGGATTAATGTATTGTTGTATATCCAATAATTATGTGACGATAAATGACATTGATTATTCAAATCATGTACATGTATTGAAATTACGTGTCATTCAGTATGACCGTCTTTGTTGTGCGTTTTGGAAATAGTCTCTCCTCGCCTGATTGGTTTTTGGTTTGTTCAAGACATCACATAAGAGATGTGTACAGATATAGCAATCAAACCTCATAGGTTCTGTTGACTTTAATGGTATCTAGAAAGGGTTTAGGTGTACAATCGAACCTCGTTAATTCGTGTACATGTAACAGGTCCATTGGACTTAGCAGCTTACTTTGTTATACCAGAAACCTTGTACTATATTATCAAGAATGAAAATAATGAAGAACAAAAGACTGGAAGTTAAAAATGTCCTTTATGTGCTCTTATTAGCAAGGTTCGACTGTATAATCGTATCTATATGGCCCTGGGGCTGGTTATTTCTCATTTTTTTTCCTTAACGTTTCTTAAGTTGGTTAATTAAGTTAATTTTGTAGTTAGTAAAATGGTTACTCAGAAGCGGTGAATGCCTTGCCCTCGCCGTTGTTGATCAATGTACATTACTCAAATCAGGTGTTGTGTTATAAATTTACCGGTGGTACTGACTTGCGAGCTGGGAATGTACAGTAGGTTTGAGGATGGCCCATCCAGCCGTGTAGCCGAAAGTACATGCAATGTCTGAGTCTGAAAATGATACGTGAAGTCTGGGAAGCCACTGGCGAGGAGTCTAGTTGCAGCCGCTTCCCTTATACTTGTGTGTTAGTTATTTTCATCCACAGTCGCAACGTTCGGACACGGCTTTATCCATGCTCGCCAGGAGGGTTTAGGCATCTCTTGGTGGCAGCAGACTCAACTGGTAGTCTGCCGCTTGTTTCCCCCCCCCCCTTCCCTGTTGTGCAAACGAACAGCGTGATGTAAAGCTGAACTCTAATTACAGTGGTTCTTTATTTCTTAAATATTATCGTTCTGGTCATGTTTTAGCCGAAAGTGTAAAGCAGATTTGGTCGTTGTACCACCGTTATCAACCACCACTGAAGGAAATATGCACCAAGAGGCCGTTCTCGCTTCGCTACGTCTCTCGCAAGACACAAATGGTTGTATATTAATGTATCGTTTCAGTTCGGTATTCATCTAGCAAGCAGAAGCTTACAAGTGACACCATTGTTCCATTTAGCTTGTTTCCATGATGTACATTTATGTGAAATAGATATTGTAACAGTACTCGTATATGAATTATCACAAAGTGTATATTTTTCAAATATTTCCCGAAGTATGTCGTCAGTTCGGGCGTCAGAAACAGTTCGTTGCATGTTCACCATTCTACCCCACAATACAGGAAAGGGGGAAATCGTTGTAATTGTACATGTAGGCCAGTGCGGTATATTAGGCTATGGCTGGATAGTTGTCGGGAAAATAAAAAAAGAGAATTGATTAACCACAGTGAAATAAGCTGTTGCATGTATTTGAACTTCAATCAGTAAATACGCAGGTGTGTTTGAGTCGTCTTGGCCTTCACAGTTTAGGGGGAGGGGGGCACATTTGTTGTGTGCAAAACTGGAGACCGTAAATTGGAAGTGCGCCCTCAATACTGTTGCTGCCTTGTTAAACTTGATTCAGATGAGAATGATGCGTATCTAGAGTTACTTTATGCCAGGCGTAAAACACAGAGAACTCTAAATGAAAAACAGTTGCTAAAAAAATTGACGTGTCGGAGGAAGAGAAAAGAATTAGGTCGAGGTCGCACGTCTCACTTTCAGGCGCCGTGATTGTTTACTGAATACGGGCGACTCACAATAGCGCGCCACCAAGAGTTTGCATCACGTTGGCCAATCATAACGCGCGAAATTTGTCGACCCTTTCCAAACGCGCATTAGGTCGACAAATTTCGCGCACTGTGATTGGCCAACGCGTTGCAAACTCATGGTGGCGCACTGTTGTGAAACGGCCGTATTGTTTTGTACAGAGGTTCATGCCAATATTTTGACCTGCACTTAGTTTCGTATTGCAGCTAGTACACGATACAGATGAAACCGTGTTGTAAATTGAATTCTTGTGGGCCTTACATTCAGCCCTAATTTGTGGTTTGACAACTGATTACAACGAAAGGTAAGTGCACCGACATGAATAAGATTTGACCTTTGCCTTTGATCCTGTCTACCAATGCAAACAAGCTATCACTTTTGTCCAACAACTGCAAGCCTCCCAGTTTGGGATTACACGTACACTGTATAACTTCCCGAATCTCAGTCACCGTAGAGGGGAGCAGGACTTCGGGGATAAGCACTTGGGTCTTCTGTACGACCAGCCAAGCTGGCTTTCATTATGTAACAAGCCCTCAGAGTAAATGTTTCTCAAGGCGGAGACACACTGAGCCAAAGTGTCCCCGTAACCAGACTACGGAGTGTCTGACGGAGAGACGCCGCTAACGTAAGTTAACGAACAACTAGGGGGCCTACATTATGAAATCTAATGAAAATAAAACTTGTCTTCTTTAAACGGAAGGATGCGTTAGTTCCCATTGGCCTACTACTCTCCACGCATAATAACAGGCCATGAAGTACACGTATATTCAGTTCAGCTGAACTGAACTGCCACAAATTCTGCTTTCTGGTAGGACACCAGTGCACGCCCACTCCACATCCGTGCATTCGCTGACACTGTCATGCATATGATATAGCGTATAGACTTTCTGTGAAGCGGAGCGTGTGTTCTCGTTTTGTAAAGTGGTTGTTCAAAGCTCTGTTGTTCGACAGGTAAGTGATCGTGTTTGCCATTCCTCGGGTAGGTATAGAACTGGGGTGCAATTTAGAGAACCGTCGCAACTTCAGCTCTAACAAAGCAATCAAGTCCCATCGATCATACCCGTACCAGTTGAAGTGCTGCACGGGTCAACCAGAGTGAGTGGTGTTGGTATGGCTGCGTTAAGCCAGTTGGCCCAGTTAGCATCCGGTGACAGGTGCGTTGCGGGCCGGTGAACCACAGTGGGAAGGGTGATTGCCATCTAGTACTAAGCTAAATGAAATGGTCCGAAAGAATGTCCGATTCACTGTAAGTAGAGTATTACTTATCTGAAAAGGTTTGGCAAAGTTACTACGTCTTGCTTTCCTGAGTCAATTAAGTACTTGCTGGCAGGCCACGCTGTCTATGTTTACTGTTTCTATCTGGCCAAGTCCAAATTCCAACTGCATTTATTTGCGCACTCGCTGCTTGGAGCTCGAGTGCCATAGGCCTACGCGAAGTTTAGAAAATTAAACAGAAACTTTGATAATATGCTACATGTGTAGTAATCCTGCCTTGGTACGTGTAGTTAATTACATACAGTGGCAGTAGAATGCGGAACTTAACCCTACTTCACATATTTGTCATTTCAGTATAAAAATAGCAGGATAATTGGGAAGGAGTGTCGTTGAGCGATTTGATATGGCTGCTTCAATATCTTGGACATTTAAATTCCGACCAGTTCTGCAAAAGACTGGCTGAGGAGGACCAGATCTTACGATACTCATAATTGCCAGCTGTGTGTAGTCTTGTATCGCAGCGCAGTTTAGTCTGCAGCACTCTTAATGTTTTTCAGCATTACATGTATTCCAAGCACCCATGCAACCTATGTAAACACATTCAAACCTGTACATATAGATGTACATGTACTTGCTGTGCGATATCAGTACCATGCTGGGCTACGGAATTCTGACGTCGATGGTTGACGACATGATACCGGAACTTTGTTACGCTGGACAGATGGAAATTTGCAGCTGCTTTCTACATTCATACAGGCGTTGCTTGACATCTGTTAAAGTGTGGCTGCAATGAATTATTCCTAAACACAGTTTTTCTGCAACTTTGTACTCTTCTTCAATGTGTGAAAACTCTTTTACATTCCCATTTGGGTAAGCGCATTGACAAGTACACTTTTTAAAACTTTTAAAAATCATCAATGCCGAATTCCTAGACAACTGAGAGCGCTGTTGCCGTGATGTTATCTATGGAAGACATTATTTCAGTGCATGGGTTTTTTCTGTTCAAGTTGTGAACCCACAATTTACTTACTGAAATCGTTTCTAAGAAAGGGCATGATGCCTGCTTGTTGCTATGCACACGGTCTCATCAAAGAAAAACTGTTGGTTCAGCAAAATCTACCAAATGCGGCGCAGTTTTGGGTACAAACAAGTGTAGCATTGAGGCTTTTCGTGGGATGACATCATAGTTTTGCTCATGAATATGGAAAAAATCATCATAAAAACGAAGGGAGGGCAGCCGAATACTGTTTGAAATAGTTGAACAAAAGTTGGAAATAAAGTTAACTGAGATACAAACGTGTAATTTTGAAGGTCTGTATTTAAAACAAATTAACTGCAGCTACCCTTTAAGCGCACATGGAGCGCGCATCTATTAAATGCACATGGCTAACTCATCAGTATCTGATGTGACACGTTGTCATACGGAGTGTAAGGGCTACCTAAAATGGCCAGATGTTTGATTGGCATTTTCTGGAAAGATTTCCCCGTATTTCTCGTCGATCCTAAGGTTCCCTGGCGGTGCACAATAATTTGTACCGGAAGACAGTAAGTTACGTCACCTGTGCAGAATAAGACTGATGTACAATAGCACAAAATCCCTTAGGAACGGGCCTATGAAGTGGAGAGCTAGATAACATCTGAGGTTTAGTTTCAGAGTCCAAGAAGAAAAGTCAATGCTATGTCTCTAATTCGACTTTTTCTACAAATCGGAAACTGGTTACCTTTGGCATATTGAAATTGGTTTATTGAAGTGTGGACCGAAATACCATACAGGGAAACAGTAATGCAACAGAAGGTGATAGACAACGCTGGTCATGTTAGCTCACCAGTTCCTCCCTGACAGGTTCATTCAGAGACAATTCGGACGAATTTTACAAGGATTCCCAACCTCGCGGATCCAGAGACAACAAAAAGATTGCCAGAAGCACTGTCAACGACGGGGACGAAAATATGACCAGCACGGAGACGACAACGACGGCGTCTTTCGACGTGGCCACGGCTCGGTTCGACCCGGAAACAGTAGCCATTGTGACTGGCTCCGCCGAGGGCATCGGGAAAGCTTTCGCGGAGGTCCTGCTTCAGAGAGGCGTTAAGGTGCGTTCGCACGCGAGAATCATGCTCATTTTTCATCTTCGGGTGCTTCTTGCACGGAAACCATAATATGGCGCCCTCAGTAATCACGTGCATAGGGCAGACAGTTGCCAAAAAACATCCTAAAATTGGTAGTTGTATACGTATATCCTCTTAGCTGTGTTAAGTAAAACCCTAAGACTTTTTGCCCCTAAGTCGTTTGGAGTATTTGTGACCCACTTTGTGAACATGAGTCTTAAGTCGCCAGAGCCATTTTTTTAGTTTTCATTTACATTGGAAAGAGCAAATTGACTTTGGCATCCTGATGAAAGTGGACGCTGTTGGTTCCTATTGATTTACACTGCGCAAAATTATTCTAAAGGACTTTTTACGCCAAAGTGGCTCTGGCGACTTAAGACTCGTTTTCACAGAGTGGGCGACATTTGGTTGGGGAGCTTGTGCACCTGAGTAAGATGTTTCATTAGAAAGGCTTAGGAGCCGTTTCGAAAAAGAAATCTCTTCAGGAGATCCCTTTTGTCAAAAACAAAGTGCATTTGGAGTTTATAATCACTATTTGTGCAATAGAAAAAGTATCCAAATGTTCTTTGTATTTGAAGGGCGTGTGCTTAGCTGACATCAACGAAACGAAGGGGAAAGAGACGGAGAAGGAGCTCAAGAAGTACGGGGAAGAAAAGGTGGTCTTTGTCAAATGTGACATCACGTCGGAAGCTGACCTAGAGGGTATGCTTTTATGTTAATTCCTGCGATTTCTAAATAGAAACAGTGGGTGCATGTTTTCCCTGAACTTAAAACCGAGGTTCACTTCCATTCTCTGTTATTTTTCCTTTACAACCAGCTCTATTCACCAAAACTAAGGAGAAGTTTGGCACGGTGAACCTGCTGGTGAACAACGCAGGCGTACAAGATGAGCAGAATTGGCGACTATGCGTGAACGTGAACGTGGTGAGTATGCCTCCAATAATGGTAGGACCTGTTACATAGGGTTAATAATTACGTAAGGAGGAACTTAGACGAGATAGATTTTTGGACTCATTTCTATTCTATTTTATTCCTGCACATTAAGCCCTTCCATCCAATGGTGTCGAAGTGAACATGGTGGTCAAATAGCTGAAATGGATCTTTCAACAACCTCACACATTATCGTTGTTGGCCATGTGTGCAATGTGAGTCGGTGCAATCATGATCTATGGTTCATAATGTCAGTGTCAATTATAGGCGTTGCCGACACTGAAACGTATACAGTGTACCTGTTGAATTTTGGCTGTGCACGTATAAGGGAATTTGATGGAACTTGGGGTCAAGAGCCAACTGCGTGTACAGTTCACTGCCATGGGAACTGTTTGGCGTCTGCCATACGTTTTTTTTCTTCTGAGGTGTGTTTAACTTGTGGCCTTTTTATTTTGAACGGTACAGTTCAGAAATAAATTACATCTGTACACTTCCTTGGGCATTCATGATAAATGCTATTTGTTTGTAAGTCAGCACATAGTTTTGGCTTAGTGCCTGGCCTGTTCTCACTTAGCTTCAGAACCAAATCTTATGGGCATTTCAGGGACCGTCACAGATATTTGCACGATCTTATTGAAGTATCCGGGTCATAAGTGTGACGTCACTTCAGTTTAAACCACGCCCACTGCACACGTGCACTGCACATAGGGTTACATGCATTGATCGCCATTTACATGGAACCATGGAACCGGAAGTTAACGCGCACCTTCAGCGATTGTCCAATAAGAGCCTGCAAATCGAGGCGCGTTTGCCTTTGAGACGAAGTCACTCACGAACTGCATACTTGTCGCGACCTAAATTCCTACATGCCGTTGTTATACCACCACCGATGACGAAAAATGGCCCAGCATTTAAATTACTGTAAGCGTGGCACAGGTTACTATGCTCTCAATAAATCAACCTGTAACTTTTATAGGCCTATATCAGCAAATTCGACTTCACTCTTTTAAAAGAATTGCATCTGCAAATTTCTGCATTTCCTGAAATTTTTTTATTCAGAATCTGCGTTGGCTATTACGGCGCCTTAATAATAATCCAATTGACGCTGTGGCCTGAATTCCCCGTAAAATTCTTGACTGAGAGAACTTGAATAGCGTAACATCATTGCGGGTGTCTGACTAGTTTTTCTTTGAGGGTTGTACATTTTGTCTTTTTTCTAAGAATTGTATGTTTGCAAGCAAGCCGCGGTCACCAGAGCCGCTGTTGTGGTTTCAATTTGGCATTCCGGAAAAAGATCACATGACAGCACACTGAAAAGGCAACAATAGATAAACCACACAAACGTTCGAGTGCGATACTTTGGTTTATTTTTCATCACAGTCAACAGACGCAGTTTTGTCAAGTAGCTTGATTAGGGCCTACGTATTGCATTTCGGTAAGGTTTGTCTCTGGTGCCGATGAAGTATACCGGAAGAGCGAGAAGGAGATGGAAACATGTAATATGTGTGGATATTGGACATGCATCACTTGCTTATTTGACTAATAACTTTGACTCACAACCTACAATATTATTACACAGCGTTTTCAGTTTGTGTCGTCCCGTTTACTGGCAACCAGATTTTTATATAGAGTGTCCGCGAAATGTCTTGTGAAAGTTTGGTAAACCATATTCCAACATTCACAATTATGTGTCGAGCTTTTGTTTTATTTTTTTCTATTTTCAATTCAACAGTTGCGCCATAGCCTGATTTTGTAACTTACATTTTGTAACAAAATAAATTTTTGTATAAAAAAAAATAAATTTGTTTTTAAATTATAAATTAAGCTGAGGTACCGTGCTAAGTGATGCATTGTGTCACCTTTCTTTCCAGATTGGGACATTAACGGCTACATACACTGCGTTGAAACACATGAGCCTTGACGAGGGCGGTCACGGAGGCACGATCATCAACATGGCGTCTGTGGCAGGTTAAACAACCGTCGGAAATAAGACATTCTGGGCCAGATATACATTTCTAGACTCTTTCAAATGGACAAATTTGTGGCTACTAACACCATCGCTGTTATATCAATCGCGGTACCATCTCAACTTTCAAAATATGCGCGTAAATTAATGTAACGTTTTTCTTAACTAATACCACATTTGCTTAGTCTGGTACCTACAAACTTTGCGTCTGGTTCGGGTAGATATTTAAACTTTACCGGCGGACAAGTTTTATACGTTGAAAGTTTCCTTTTTTGTTTGTCGGCAGGACTGCGTCCAATCCCGTACATGCCGTCATATGCCGCCTCAAAACATGCCATCATCGGGATGACCAAGTCTTTCATGGTAAATTTCTTGAAGTTTGGCGCCTTTTGATATCTTATCTTATCTTACCTTGCTAAGTACAGTATTCGTGCTAAGCATTGTTAAGTGCCACACGATACACTCTTGCGATATCTCACCGGTACAGGCGCATCCGTGCACCAAGTTGAAGGGTATCACCATGGCGGCGCTCTGCCCCGCGTTCGTGGACACCAACATGATCCAGGAGGACCGCGTCATTCTTCGATGCGATTCAGACAAGCCAATGGCCCGTGGGGTTATGGCACAGGTCGGCGTGTTAGAGTGAGTTTTCATACGATAGAATATTTATTTGTTAATATCTGATGATCTCCCGGTGCCAGTCTTTCATTAACTTGATTCTGTTGTTAAAAAGGCTGAATGCAAACGGAATGATGCATGTCTGCAAGATCTGACGAAAATGTTATGTCCTTTTTGGGTCGTTTACAGTATTAGAATATTCGAGACAGTTGCGTATGTGTAACAGTCGCAACTGGAGTGCGGTCGTGCATGACCCACTGAGGGCGCTGCTCGTACTCCATTTCCAACAGCACACGGCTGTGAATGTTAGTGCCGTTGGTCAGTCAACACTTCCGAGAAAAAAATCATCTCAATCTTTAATAGCTTTAAACTTTTTCTATTTTGTGCTCCTTCGTCAGGGTGTCCGAGGTCACAGACGCTTTCTTGACCCTCATCCTGGACAAAGCCTGGGCTGGGAAAATCATGCAGATCAGCAAAGCGGCTGGAATGAAGGAATCACCAATCATGTGATCGCCACTATTCGCCAAAAGTTAGACCGTGTGCCTGAAGAAATGATATCTTAAGGAGAAAACAAGGGGGTCTTCACTAGTACGCACACAAACGTTACCAGAGAATCTCGAGCACAAACGTTCATTAATATTGTAAATGTGATTTAGCGCCGTGTGTTATCCTTTTTTACGCTTTGGGGTGTCGTTCACACCGAATATGGCACATTTTAAGTAAATCCGGCGCATCGAATGAAGTTCACGCATCCTTAAACATTAGATACGCGTTTTGGCTTACAAACGCAACACCGTAACAACAGTGAAGAAAAGTGGAGTCAAATCCTGCACAGGGAAGCCAAACGGGCAAGTAAAACTGAAAATTGCAACGTCCGGTTTTTAAAATACAATTTCCATTTACATTTGCCCCGTGCAGGTATATAAACGGTGACGGGGCTATAAGTAGAAAAACCCACATCCCTTAAAAAGGGCGGAAGAGACCAACGATTTTTCACATATGAAGTGTTGCTTCACGTATTTTCGTACTGGCGTAAGCATTTCCTACGTACCACTGCAAAAGATCGCCATGAATGTGCGCTAACGCGGCTTGGAAGAAGTTGTTTCAATCAAACATCTGTTGACACTACAATAGAACACTGATGCATGCACATCTTCGAGATGTCACGGACACCATAAGTAATTTGTGGATAGGTCTGCATTACATCGTATCCAGGAATAATTCTATCACAATTAGTGGGAATTCAAAGTAGGTCTACAGCGGTAGGGGACTAGCATTGAAATGTAAGAGTTGTGGATTGATTGCATTCAATATTTCTTAAAGAATTAATCGCATTAAAGTTATCCACTAGCACTTTGAATATTTCACATAGAATAATTATTTTTGTAAACTGTACTATCTTCCTCCTAAATGTAGGTTTTTCTACGTAAAAATAAAACATTTTTTAATTTTGATAATTTACCATAGTGCGTGTTTAAAAGTAAAGAGACGCTAGAGGCAGACAGGTTTTTTTCCGGTTGATGCACAGACCCGACTCGCAAGTGAACCATACGCACTACATGTGTATACACTATTAAAAAAGGAACAAGAGAACAGAATGTTTTTGTCATGGTCTATTTGGGCTACCGTTAGAAAAAGAGGCATTACAGTTATGTGAAAATCATTCAGGTGTTGTCACATAACTTTAACGCCTCTTGTTCTAACGGTAGCCCATATAGGCAATGACAAAAACATTCCGTTCTCTTGTTCCTTTAATTCTCTTGAGTAGTGTATTAGCCACATGTGTATTATGACAGTTGTGTGGTACTTTAACAAACGTATAGATTAACAAAATTCTGTACGCGTATTTTAATGTAAGAAATTCTGACAAATGCTATGTGTATAACCGTGAACTAAACCGCTGTTTAGAACATTTACATGGTTACTCACGATTTTTATTCGCCAGACATATCAAGTCCGTTGTTCAAGTTGCCTTGATAAAATATACATGTAAATTAAAATTTTGCTCTTAAAGTTCCGGGCAAGAAGGTGTGATATGGTGTATGATAATGTCGATTGTATGTGTAGAAAAAAATGCTCATGACCAGTATCAGTTTCTAATTAACGAAGACACCGCTGTACGTTTGTCCTTTTGTGTCAATGAAATATCGGTTTAGATCTTCCCCCAACGTCACAAGAAATGTGTACTTCATGAGCTTTTTATGTCAAAAGGGAAAACCGTTCGACACAAACATGATCTCAGATGAAAAATATGTTTTAGGTTTTGCAAAACCTGAATGAAAATATTTTTAATATTTTTAAATGTTTCTGATGGGCACTGCTTTCTAAGAAAACACTGTTTCTGAGATGTTATAGCGGACGTAAAGGATAGTCTAAAATAAAGTCATACATTTTGCATAGATTTGCACGCAAAATACAAAGATTTGATAAAAACTGTTTGAATAATATGCTACTAAATCATGTCAAAGCAATGAACAAAAAGTAAATACAGAGCCTGTACTTCCAATTTCTAAAATAGTTTTATTTCAGTAAATAAAACCGAATTTAAACACGGGTGAAAAATTTAAACCTTTCCTTTCATACATCCTTAACAAATACAACATTTCTCATGACAGCAACAGATAGTATTTAGCAGGTGTATGTCAGAGTCAGTTCCATTAAGCAGTTTCCTGAGGTGTACATTGTGGTTTGTCATTAATTGAAAAAGAAAATCAATATGTTATGCATAATTTCCATTTCAGTTAAATTGCAAGATCTAACTCAGTGGCAGAGACCAAGTTAACAAAATAAAATAAACGAATCTTGAGGTTTCAACTAGCGGCACAAAAGCCCAGCGTGCATTACAAGATCCATGGAGTAGAGTTCTGTGAATTCAGATTTGATCCCCAACTTGCCAGAACTGAAGTGAACCGAGTCTGTCTCTTGTTTCTGTCTTCCGTGATAGATGAACCCAGACATGAAGCATTTAACCAAACACTCCACTTGGGGTAATGCTTGGCTAAGTCTCGTCAGCCACTCACTGTTTATACTGCTCGTTTGCATTTCCCCCATCATTTTTAACAAGCAAATAGAGAGTACTCCTTTTTTTTCTGTCAAAAACCAGACTCTCTTCCCCTCCCAGACAACTCCAACTGGAAAAAGCAACCAACCCCCCCCCAAGGATAATTTCCTTGCTTGGTTTTAGCTTCATTTCTAATATTTTTGGCAAACCCACATGGCTCCATACCCCTGTTCTCAGCGTACTGTTTGTAGGCTACACTCGTGAAATTTAGAGAAAGAAAATAATGGATCCTCCGAAGGATTTGTATCATCTGAACAATTGAAATTTCTGACTTTTGAAAATTCTGTGCTGGTTTTATCAAGTTTTAAAAACCTTGCGCTTCAAGTATCTTTTAGAAAGATGATTGGTCTGCAGAGAGTGTGGAAAAATACTTCCATTCTTACCTCATTAACTTCCTTTTCACTGCCTAGACACACTTCCCACATCTTTGAAGCCTTTTAAACACACTTTTTCATTGCTTTGAGGCCCTTCTTGCATCTAGCAGGGCTTTTAAATGCAGTGCGCAAGTTCAATAAACCAACTAATTAACAGGTCCCACCTCTTTTGTTTTTCATCAGTCGTGGGGGAATGGGGAATCGAACCCGGTCCCAGGGTACAGCCAGCTTGGGCGACCGCCGTGGGTGCTGGTTGCTCTCTTTCAGGTAGGCCTCCGTCACATAGTACAGCACCACGCAGACAGCGGAGATCAGCACCCCGATGATGAGGATGGTGTAGAGGGTGGCATTGGTGGCCCCCAGTGGCTGCTCCATGTCCCGCAGGTGTGCCTCTGCCGGTTGGAAGGTCGGGTTGAGGTCCAGCGAGTGCCGGAAGTGGGTGCCGGCCTCTGGGTAGTGGCCCAGCGCCTTGTGCACCTCACCCAGGGTGAAGTGCTGTAACCAGGCATTCTGGTCGGGCGCCTTGTGCTGCAGGGACTTCTGGGTTAGGAGAAGTGCGTCAGGCAGCCGCTGGGCATTGAAGAGGACCCGGGCAAGGTTCAGCAAGATGTCCGGGTTGGTGGGTGAGATGGACAGGGCCTTCCGGAAGCACTCAATGGCCAGGAAGGTGTTGCCCTTGATTCGCCAGTAGTTGCCCACTTGGTTCAGGACAGCCAGAGAATTGGGAGTCTTCAAACAATGAGGGAGAAAAATAATAAAAGTTTCAGTATACTTCCAGCTTCAACTTTTGCCAGTTCCCTTAAAACTGCATTAAAAATAAATGCAACTAGAGTTCAATTAGAGTTAAAAAGAGTACAAAGTGGGGTGTTCATTCTTTGTTTCACTGTTTAACAGGCTCCTCTTTTTTATGCAGGTTGACAGTAACAAAGCATCATTGTTAACGACGGGTTCTTTGTTGCTAAGCAACATCTGCTTCGTACCTCTATTATCCTTTCCCTGAGCGACTTCTCCAGAGCTGACATGTCCACCTGATCACTGTCACTCCTCTTAAAAATAAGTGCAACCTCTGGTTCCGGGATGCTTGGGTGCTTAGCTCGATCAATGATGCCCGATAAAGAATCATAGGCTGTTTTATTCACATGCTTGGTACACTCCAGTGCATCTAAATTCTTGTGTTTAACTCTGCAGGACAAGTAAGGAAAAGAATGAGTCAAAGCAGGTGTTCAAATTTAGGTACACTTCAAAGTAATAAGGATAATATGGATTACCTGACCATCATTAGCAGTATTACATTATCTTTAATGCCAGCAACTTAACATCGCATAGTACACCAAGCTGTCAATAACTTGAAATTACAATGACACAAGTACAAATAACTACAATTGAGACTTTTTTAACATGCACCATCCTTCTTTTTTTTTAACTATTCAGTATGTTAATGATAGCCCGTGTAAAATGACATTAGGTTACGTTCCAGTTAATAAAGTTAACAGATCATCTGACGACGGGATTGTAACAATCAAACATCAGAAATTGGAAGACAGCTATCCAAAAGCCATGATAAACAGGCCGCTAACAAACACCTCTGAATTCTTGCACTCTAGCAATTAAATCCTTCTCACTTTTTCAATGTCATTTATTAAACTGTCGAACAAGACAGGTCCTACTACGATGAATTTAGGGCAGTACTTTAACTCTTCAGAGTGGAGCGTTAGTACTCCCCTTTTTCAAATTTTGTATTGGATTAGTCGCACAACCCCTACCTGTATTTGGTTCATCCTGGTGCACATCATGGAAAAATACAAGTGGTAGGCCTAATTTCTTTCGGAAAGAGTCCCATGCTTATACGGACAACACTTTTACTAATTTCCCCTTAAACATGTTAAAATGTTACAACAGCCACCAGAAAGTAAAAATATGTCCCAAAAAGTTAAATTTAGCAAGGAAAATTCTGCAGCATTTACTCAAAAACAGTTTTGACTCGGGCCTTGAGATAAGTCAGACAAATCTCATAGAAAGTCATAGGCCTATGCTGATTTTTTTCGTATAGGCCTAGGGGGCCTATGTGGAACTCTTTCATTGTCATTCCTATCTTTCCTTACGGTTGGAATTTTGGTCGTTCATTCCCTTCCAATTTCTCACACGAAACACACTCTCCTTCATGAGGTATTCTATCTCCACGGTTTCCTTCCTGGTCCACAACGTCGTAGTTGTTTTGCTGTGTCAAGATCGTGAGTACCGGGTCTTCGCTGGCCACTTTGGCCGCATCCTCGGCCAGGCTCGGCTGGACGAGAACGACACCGTCCTCTCCCTTCTGAAGCTTCCAGTGGGTGGCAGAGCGCGGTGTCGAAGCCACCATACTGGCCCCCACCAGGTACAGGGCCATGTAAGTCAGATTCGGTGTGTCGAACGTCATTTCGACATCGAGGAATGTCTCGAAAACAACAGCAAAATTCTCGTGTTTTTTGTCTGCAGTTTGACATGAAAAAAAGAAGAGCTCTTAAGTCTTATGGGGACGTCTGAAGTCCAGTATCGACCTCATTCGAATACAGTTCGATTTTCACAAGGGCACCATACTGTCCAAATTAAGGCTGCGGCTGGCAATAACACATACACCGATGGGAGGTGGCTGCAGCCGCAATCCAGCGACTTCCACAATTAAACGTGCTGTTTGCAGCCACTGCCACAATTTTCGGACACTGCCGTGACCGCGTATACGGAAGAACGTAAACGTTTGCCGCGTCCAAATCACTTATTTTACGGGCAATGAATAACTTGAAGACCGCCCAGCTTGTGGCCTCGTTAGGGCTGCTTGTAGTACAGTCCGCTTATTCAAAACAGTGTAAAATCAGCACTGTTCAGGGCCCAATAACATCCACTCCAACATCTCTGAGATTTCTAAAACACAAGTGAAATGCTTGTCTGGTCACTAATCTTTCAATTTCTTTTAAATTTTTGTGGGTTAACCAATTACATTTTAAATTATTCCCACAAAACAAAATCACTGCCAGTGATTTTTTCCGAAGTCTGATTGCAGCCATTTTTCAAGTGGCAACCCTCAACTTTTTCGGGCACTTAGGACCATTTTCAACCGTAGTTTTTAGCGATTCTGCTCTCATATGAAAGCTCAAAGACCCAGGGAGTTGATCCTGGCAAGGATTTACACAATCTCACCATTTGGGGGGCAAAACAATCTCCTTTTTCAAAAGATACTGTGGGGCACTTTTAATGCTTATGAGCTGGCCAGAATTTTTCACTTGAATTAGTGGTCTGCACCGCTACAAGCCGCGGGCCGTAGGTAGCTCGTAAAATCCAGAAAGGTCAAAGTTTGCAAGAGCATTCAGCCTTTCTTTTTAGGTTAGCAGGAAATAGTTTACTTTTTCGATATATATCACTTTCATCTCACAGGCTTGACTTCAAATTCTTCCCAAATCACATTAGCAAATTACAACTATAATACAACAGTACATTAGTAAAGGTATGGCCAAACAGCTTGTGCCTTTTGGTTGATAAAACAAACGTATTTTGTCGTCTGCTCCGAGTCAGTGGAAAGTCCACGTTGGCCGCAACTGATTGGTTCTGCCATGCAACGGGTGAATTTTCACGTCAAATAAAATAGTTCCACTTTAACGCATTCTTTCCAAGATATCAACGTAATGCAACAGAGACATAGCAACATGTTCTTACTGATTTTTCATTTGTATTTTCGGCCCCAAAATGGAAATCCGTGCATCATATTGGAATTAATCTGAGACTTCTGAACATCAAACTTGGGACTCATCACCGATTCGGTTTATCTACTATTTATCCTCTCTCCCTCTCTTCAACATGGCCGTCGGCGTGGTGCTCGTTTTGTGCAGTGTCTTAGCGATTCTCTCCACGGTTCAGGGTGGAGGAAAGACACTAGTTTTACTGGATTCAGCGGGCTTAAAGGAATCTCACTCGATATTTTTCAAGTCGTTGCAAGGTAGAGCAATTTCAGCGCAATAGAATCTTCTTTAATGGCGGAGACCGGTCACTTTGTGAAGACCTAACCAGTGCTAACGTAATTAGGCCTAGCCTAATCAAATTCGTGAAGAACTTTGCGTAGGCCTACTTCTGACTGTCTGAATTTCTGTTTCTAGGTGTTTTTCTAAGTAAAACCCTCCGTATTTATGACTGCTAAATTTGACTTTTTAGGACATGTTATCAGTTTCTGATCGCTACTAAACTACTTATGACTTCTACGAAAGAAAAGTAGTTATGTCCATACATCACCTCACGGCTGTCATGCTAATTACAACACGCAACAGACCGTCAACACGCAGTCAACACCCCCAAAACATGTTAAAAATCAAAAGAAGTGGTAAGCCTACTCGACCATAACGTGTTTGCCGAACTGCCGAAGGGATATTTTGCCTAAACTTCAACAGGTTAGACTCGGGAAAATTGCCGTTTTAATTTGGCCGAATCACCTCCTTCAAACAGCTCAGAAATCAGCCACGTTGCTACTGTCTCATGTTAATGTGTCCGGCTTTGGATTAAGTGAGAATCTGAGATTCCAATAATGATGTTAAGGTTTACTTATGGTTTGGAAAAAAAGAGAAATTTCCCTTTCAAATCAGAAACACTTGTTGTCAAGCTCGAAGTCGCCATCTTGTCAAAAAGCAATTTGAAATGTATATTAATGTCCTGGAGTCAACGTCACATGGCGTGCCGGCCTTAGAGCGAACCATTCACAAAAAGTATGCCGTGTTGGTACACGCGTGCTGACGACTGATTCCTGATCGTCACAATTTCCAGAGTACAGTTTGGGTGTAATCAGACACACACGTCAGAGCTAACGGACATTGTGATGCTCAGAACTCAGTTGTTGGCGAAAGAAACTTACTTTCTTTTTGGCATAAGTTTTAAAACTCGGCAAGAAAGTGCTAAGAATATTTATTGCATGCTTTGTGCATTCTTCCTAATGTTTTGACAGAAATAATGACCTTTACCAGTGGCACTGTTCATGATAATCTAATTTTATCTGAACAGTCATAAAAGTTCATAAAAAATGCCTTTATAAATTTTTTTGTGTTTTGGGTGAAAATTGAACAAAAATAGAATAATAATCAGTTTAACTGATTCTATTGATACACTTGTTCTCCAGTTGATAAGAACGGAAGACAGTGGTATTAATTTTTTTGGTGCTGTTCAACCGTAAAAAATGGCCTTGGTGCCCTAAATCCAAATTAGTGCTAGGCCTTGGTGCCTTTCAGAATGAATAGATCAAGGAGGCTAAATGGCCTTGCCCTCATCTGTTCTTATTTCCAGCTGTGTAATAACATGTCCTAAAAGAAAAATTTAGCTGAGAAAATTCCAAAACATTTACTTAGGAAACACTTAGGTTTTTCCCGACAGGTCTGATGGGTTTGCGCATAGGGGGAACTCTTTCTTCCGAAATAAATTTCCAAGTCTTCAAAGCACTTGTTGTGCATGTTCAGTTGCTGGGCCGGTACAAAAGTGAAGAAGAGTTCCACATACGGACACCAGTAATTCTTCCCTACTGTGACATAATAGCCATCAAAAAGCAAAAACATGTCCAGAAAAGTTCAATTTAGGAGGGAAAATACAAATTCATTTACTGAGAAAACACTTTTTCAGTCCGGTCTCATAGTGTTTGTGCACAGGGTGTCAAGTGGCGTCCATATATGGAACTTTTTCCCCAAAACGAAAGCATATAAATATGGTGGGCGGTCAAATCCTGCCCTGGGGTCAAATATACACTGGCTTATACATTTTGCCGTCGATTTCATGATGACGATTGATTGTATTGCGTGACCCATAATACTTTTGTTTCTGTTTCAGACCGTGGGTTTGATTTAACCTTTAAAACAGCAGATGACCCTGGTCTAAAGCTCTCCAATTACGGGGAATATATTTATGAGCATTTAGTGCTGTTCTGCCCATCAGTAGAAGGTGAGTACCCTGAACACTTTTTGTATTTGAATTTTTATTATTTGTTGCACTGTAGTGGCTTACACTTCCCAAATTCTTCTAAATCAACTTGTGTTTATTATCTGTCCACAGAGTTTGGAGGTCAGATCGCAGAGGGGTCAATCACTGAGTTTATTGATGCTGGCGGAAATGTGCTGGTGGCTGCAAGCTCGGATATAGGTTGGTTGTTTCTGTCCATCTTGTAGTCTTGTACACAGACAAACTCATCCAACCAGGAAGTAATTCAGGATTGCAACGGTGTGCTGCTTTCCACATCAACTAATTTCACTTCAAATCTAGGGTGCGGTTTGGCCAGATTCAGGTGGATTCTGGAGTCAGGACTGTGTGTCCTGGTACGTAGTTGACGTGAATCTGTCTTTGGCCCATGGAAGAGCTCCTGGGCTTAGACACAGTTGACATTTCGGTGAACTTTAGTCAAATTTGCTTGGAAATCAAGATGAAAAAAAATCATAAATTTTGCTGGCCACCTTCCCCTTGGCAGTGCTCTGGTTCAAAGGTTGTGCATGAAAAAAAAAATCAAGCAGAAATATCTCACACAGTGCATGTACTCTGTTTTGGGAAAATCCGGTATGGCAGTATGCGACCCGTCACCACAAATTGAGCTGAAAGGCGGAATTTCCCAAAAATGAGATGTTGGTATTTCTGAATTGAGCAGAAAACAAGCTTTTATGTGGTATTTATTTGGAACTCTTGGGGTAAAAGTATAAGGTGACAATGTGACATTTATTCTGGCTGCTTTGCGTCTTTGTTCCCGACATTATTTCAACATTTCAGACCAGGCACAAATATTGCTATTGTCAGAATTGCTGAGAAAATTTTTTAAATATATGATCCTGCGAAATATTTGGAATTAAATAGGAGACAGGTCACTCTTTCCAAATATTACAAAACTCAAAAATAGACCTCCACTTTGAAACCTCAAAATACAAGAGTGGGACGTGACGTTACTCTCATTTTGTCATGACGGGTGACATACGCTCACTTGTCTGAAGAAGTTTCACCTCTCATTTCTTTGCTTTGACTCCAGGTGAACCAATCAGGGAGCTGGGCACAGAATGCGGAGTTGATTTTGACGAGGAAGGAACAGCCGTCATCGACCATCTCAACTACGACGTCAGCGATGAAGGACTGGTAAGCTTCGGCCAGTGCTGGCATTCCACGCATGAAGGGCTGATGCCTTCATGCTTGAACTATTGAGGGCGCTGCTGCCAGGTTGCCTGGCCAGGCTGGAGCTTTAGCCCGGATTTGCCATGTCCATAGGGACTGGCTGCAGCCACATTAACATGCACATCTGAGCGAATTGGTTCCCATCAGTCCACATGCTGTTTTCCAGCCGCATCCACAATCCTTCAGACAGGGCTAAAGTGAGGGGTACCACTGTGGCTTTCCAAAGCCAAACCAGATGCCCACATGTTGGAATTTGCACTTTCTATCATCAAACCGATACTCCCGCAGTAAATTTGCTATCTGGAAACAGTCAGATGACAGCAAAAAATACCCAGAAATACCCACCGGGGAGTTCTTTCCTTGCCTTTCACCTCTGTGGCCCAGGTTCGATTCCAGGCTCGGTCCACATTTGGATATGGGTTTTCAGTCCCTACCTGATTCCCTAGGTTTTACCCGGTAATTTCTATTCTGGGGTATTCCTCCCACCTCTAAAACTATAACTGCTTCTCATTGACCCCACTAGATATAGATGGATGTGAGTCGTTTGGTGGCTGCCTGAGACACCCCTGTACGCTGCTGGCTTGGCCACATTTAATGTCTTCATTGTGCAGCGCATTTGAACATATCTGGATGAAATTTGCATTTTATAAATGAATACATTATTACTACTACAATTATGCCTGGTTTTTGATGATACAGAATGTCTGGTCTGATTTTTCTTTTCTTTTCTTCTTTTTTTTTCTCCTCTGATAGCACACTCTGGTAGTGGCCGATCCTGCCAATCTGATTGAGTCCCCAACCATGGTTGGCTCCCAGAGGTCTCTGCCAATCCTCTTCAGTGGAGTTGGGTAAGCAAATGATAGCCCTCCACCCCTCAACCCTCCCCCCAATATAATGTTTCTATGATTATATCAATCAAAGAGCTTCTTAGTATTTAACTCCAGAGTAGATGTTTGGAGGTTTCGGTCATAAATGGCTGAATTATGTCACATTCAGCCAGTCACCGATGCTTGCTTGAATCTGGGTGTACCAGATTCTCAAAGAGGGTGTGCCCCACAAGAAGACTTTTTCATTTCCCAATACCCATCACAAGTGGGAAATTTTTGTGTGCATAAGTGTGAAATTCTCTGGCAGTTCATCACATACTCAGCAGCCACACTGTCGCCGACGGTTAGGGCTGTGTCCAAATTACCTTGTTCTGGCTTGAAATTACACACAACTTTATGGTTGTGGCGGCAGCCTCTTGCTATATTATTGTGTAAATTCAAGCCACAGCCAAGTGAGTTGAGCACATCCTGTGAGCCAGGTCACAGTCTCTCTTTAGGCAACACAGTTGGAAGTACTCATGCACGTAGGCAATGACTGTATGGTTTCTTCTCTCTACCCCCCCCCCATTCCCCACCCCCCTGNCCCCCACCCCCTGCCCCCCTAGCATGACTGCAGACCCAGACAACCCCCTGGTCCTGGACGTCCTGCACGGCGCATCCTCCGCCTACTCCCACAACCCTACCAAGGACGTGACGGACTACCCCCACGCCGTGGGCACCAACACCCTGCTGCTGGCGGCCCTGCAGGCCCGCAACAACGCCCGGGTGGTCTTCAGCGGCTCCCTGGACATGTTTAGCGATCGGTTCTTTCAGGCCTCAGTGCAGAAGGCCGCCCCGGGATCCCCCAAGTGAGTCTCAAGTCTGCTAAGCAAAGTAATGTTTGACCGGTCTATGTAGAAATTTCACTACACGGTGTGACAGTTGTCTTGCAAGTAGTGTGCTAGCAGTAATCAGTTTTGTAAGGAGGGTGAAAGGTCAGGCTCTACTTTTACGGAGCAAAAACTGCACGACAAAGCTGTATGCTAAGCATGTTTCATCCTAAGTTATATGCTTATGCTAAGTGGATACTGATTAGTAATTTACAGATCAGTTGATAACTAATTGCAGGAAGGACACATTGCACAATTTTTAGTTGGTCTAAGTGAAGTATTTATTTGCTTTTCAATGGTTAAAACCAAAAGTATGCTTAGAACCTACCATCGAGTTCCCTGAGGTTACCTTTGGAAAGACTTTATGGTATTGTTTAACTCTGTGATCTTGATATTTTGGGGAATGATTTTTAACATGGACAAAACTCAACCTTTCAATTCACCTTGCAGATTTTTTGAACTAGGGACACTATATTGGGAGGGGGTGGAGCAGCGAGTGATACAAGGAGGGGGTCGTTAATTTTTTGCCATATTTTCAGATCGGGTCGCTCGGGCAACCAGGAGCTAGCTTTGGCCCTGTCCGGCTGGGTGTTCAAGGAGAAAGGAGTGCTCCGCGTCCAGCGTGTCTCTCATCACCTTGTCAACGAGAAGAACACCCCTGCTGCCTACACGGTGGAGGATCAAGTGGTGAGATAGTCTTATCTTTAGGCAAACCTTCAGCATTTTAAGAACTTTATCTTGATGTATTTTCAACGGTTGTAGTGATGTACTAGCCATGCGGCAGCCGTTTGAGAGGGCAGATTTCAATGTCACCATTTCAGGAGTACAACATTTGGATCGACATCCTAGTGGACGGTAAGTGGGAGCCCTTCTCAGCCACTGATGTCCAGCTGGAGTTTGTGCGCATCGACCCCTTCATCCGGACCAAACTGACCAGCAAGAGTGAGTTGTCACCTTTTCTTCTGCATTGCACAGAGGCCGAAAAAATATCCACCTCACCTCGGGTTATGCAATTCACCCAAAAGGCTTTCATCGTGTCTTGTGCATGTTTGAAGCTGATATGCCTTTGCACGTCTTTGTCCATGTAATTTTTGCTTCTCACAAGTAAGTGACAAGGAAAGTAGGAATCGTTTCCATTACCAATTTGTGTTTTCTTTTCCGCTGCCTCGCCCCCTTAAGATGGCAAGTTCTCCACCCAGTTCAAGTTGCCCGACGTGTACGGCGTGTTCCAGTTCAAGGTGGACTACAATCGCATCGGTTACACCCATCTGTACAGCACAACTCAGGTGAGGAAGAAATCTGTCCGTTGCTTCCACACAAACACCCGCCAGCTCTTGGTCATGCCACGAGTCCGTATTGTGGTACCAGAGTGCACACAAGCAACCAAGCCCGACGCAGGAGAGCCGCGTGTGTACCGGCTGGGCCGACGGCATCACACAAATATACAATATTGGCTGTAGATTCCCGCCATCGGCTTTGGCAGAGGTCCATTTCATTTCCAGTGGCAGCCAGAACTATCACATGTATGAAAACCGGTCCTGCACTAGTTTAGACGGTGTCCCCATTTTCACGACCCTCCAAGTTTCTGTCCAGTGGTGGGAGTACGCTCGATTCACCGCCATGGATTTCAGTTGCCCCCTCAAAATTTCTGTCCGGCTGTAAGAGCATACCCAATCGAAGCGGCTCATCCCATCAGCATGGCCAGACTGAACATTCATCCTTTTGGATTTTCTTTGCCCCCTCAANACCTGCAACCCACAAAAATACCTGCAAGATGTCATCATCGTCCAGCCCTGACAATCCGTTCTCCATCAAAACACCGAGGTTGTGGGGGGTCCGGAGATGGTGTGGCCAGCCACACTTAGCACCTCTCCGGCATTTATTTGAAACAAAGTGAATGCACAGGTGGAAGGCCCTGCAGCTGCCGCCTTCCTTGCAAGAGTCCTGCTTGGGGTTGTAAGATTTGCAGAGAACGGCATCCGTCTTGGCCCTTGAATAATGAATAACAGTACGCACTAATGATGGCTATTCATTTATAATGCACACATCTCCAACAGTTCTAGTGCCCTAGCCAACCAAATGTTTAACGAGACAGTTTTTTATGGAAACAAAAATTCTCACCATAATGAAACTGTGTTCAACAAGTATAGTCCCCACAGCTATGGGACCAGTATGTGTGCTCATGGCACACATGTCATTAGCCAATTATCCCAAAACATTCCTGAAACCCTCTCAGCTCCCTAGAAAGCAGGTGGCTTGGTGTAGGCAGCTCACATGCCACCAGACTTAAATTTTTCTCCCTGCTCATATTAGAACCCATTTATGGGGAGAGGTACAGTGACTTGCCCAATGCCACAACATTTAGCATATGCAGCAAGGTATGAGACGGAGAGAACCCCCCTGCTTTGTGTTGGTCATTGTCTTGCAGGAATCTGGGGAATTCCTTTCAGACATCTTGGGGGGGGGGATGTGCTGAGTAACAATAGTCTGGAATGTGTATAGGGATTGGACATGTTGGGGGGGGGTACCCCTCGGTCTCATTTCTTGCTGGGTATAACATTTAGATGAACTTGCAGGGACCAACGGAGACTTGTGATGGACTCGTCTAAGTGAAAGCCCTGGGTGCTGCTTTATCTTTGTTTTTGAGGCTAAGCATGTCAATCTGTGATACCCTTCCTTCAACAATCAAGTTTAAGCCCAAAATTATTAACAATCTCTAAAAATATTTGTTAAAACTCTACAAATGCTACCTGACAGTGCATTCATCACGCTTAGAATCTTCCTCCAGACAGAAGAGTTTGACATTGTGAGGGGAGCGGACAGTCAAGAAGTGCCGAAGTGCCTGCTCGGACGAACCCTCGCCAATGTGACCGTCATCTATCAGGGCCTCGTTTAGGGCAGTGAGACTGAGGCTCCCACCGTAAATGCACAGGTCTTTCAACACCACCTGCTCCAGATCGTCTAGAATCTCTCTTGTGCCTTGCTCGGGTGTTTTACGCTGATGAGCCTCAAGAAACGCCGCCATTGTGCGTGGACGCTTGTCAGCGCACATAGGTCTTATGTTTGTGAAGCCTTCTGCCATGTCAGTCCCAACTCAGTCACGTCGCACTTGACGCGGATCAGATCCAGAGATTGATCGGTACCGTCTGCTAAACTATATGTAACGACATGAACGACCACTAAACATGGTTCGATCACTCGAAACGGCACAGCAATTGCAAAAATATGCAGCTTCGATGATGATGTTTTACACACTGCGGCCACCGGTTACACCCAAACACATTTCTCATCAGCAGGTTAAAAGCGGCAGTGACCACATTTGGGAAATCCCCGCAATACAAGTTCGTTCCCGCGACCAACTTGGCATTGGCGAGACATTCAACCGATAATGATCAGTACGACGTCATGGAGACGAGGTTGTTGAGCCACAAGTGGATTGCATGGGTTGGGGTTTTTCCAATACACGATTTCGAAATTTCGTCACGGTGGACTACAATCGCATCGGTTACACCCATCTGTACAGCACAACTCAGGTGAGGAAGAAATCTGTCCGTTGCTGCTACACAAACACCCGCCAGCTCTTGGTCATGCCACGAGTCCGTATTGTGGTACCAGAGTGCACACGAGCAACCAAGCCCGACGCAGGAGAGCCGCGTGTGTACCGGCTGGGCCGACGGCATCACACAAATATACAATATTGGCTGTAGATTCCCGCCATCGGCTTTGGCAGAGGTCCATTTCATTTCCAGTGGCAGCCAGAACTATCACATGTATGAAAACCCTCCAAGTTTCTGTCCGGTGGTGGGAGTACGCTCGATTCACCGTCATGGATTCCAATTGCCCCCTCAAAATTTCTGTCCGGCTGTAAGAGCATACCCAATCGAAGCGGCTCATCCCATCAGCATGGCCAGACTGAACATTCATCCTTTTGGATTTTCTTTGCCCCCTCAGGTTTCTGTTTGGCCGAGGTAGAGCACCTAGTTAGAGCATTTTAGCCCATCAGCCACACCAGACTAACCATTTTCTTTCTTTGGTTTTTTTTAATCGTCCCCCCCTCAAGGTTTCTGTCCGGCCGTGGGAGCACACCCAGTTTGAGCGTTTCATCCCCTCGGCATTCCCCTACTACGCCAGTAGCTTCTCCATGATGTTCGGTCTCTTCTTATTCAGCCTCATCTTCCTCCATCATCGGGAGGACACCAAGGCCAAGAAGGAGTGATGCTTCTATTGCGCCGGACTTTCTGGAGATTTTATTCTTATTTCACGGTGAAAAATTCTTTTCTGTTTTGGGATTCATTTTTTGATGTGTGGAAGGGAAAAGGACATCCTCCAAATATGTAATTCCATTTGCACGGCAGGAGTGAAATGTATCAAATCTCACGAACAATTATCTGGAAATTGAGAACCAGTCTGGCGGGCACTGTCAGACACGTTGGCGGGCAATGCGAGTCTGGTCAGCATGCCCACTTCTGCCCAATTAATTTTCATGCCAACTAGATGTGCCGACACTTGACCAACCTGCTTGTGAAAAATTGATACTCCTCTTCTGCAGTCAATCCGTTAAGAACAGAAAAAGAGAGGATGAACCCTTGTTTAGGGAACGTTTCAAAATTACAGAAGGCGGTATTTACTGCGGTACCGCTGTATTTTTGCGGTACCAGCATTAAGCCCTTTCGGGTAACTAGTGCAGTGCCGCTAAAAAAAACAGCGGTACCGCAGTAAATACCGCCTTCAACAATCATGAAACGCTCCCGTACCAAAAATCCTCACGCTTTCAGGTATCTTGTGCAAACCTGCCCGTGTCGTGTCATAAGGGATACTCTTTTGAACTTGGACATCCTTTCATACTTATTTTTTAAAAAAAAAAAAAGGTACTACATTTTTCCCAGAGTCAACCCCAAACGTTATCATCTACTTTTTATGGAACAGTTTTGTACAATTCGGCTGTGCCTTACAAAGTGGACATTTCGCGGATTCCTTTTTGAGAGCACAGCTGAAATTGTTTTTAAGCAAATTAGATGATATAGAAGCACAGTGATGTAATTAATTTGGAACAAATTTTGTCATGTGCAGTGTTTTGGGTAATAAAAATTAACACAACAATATGTTTAGCCATGTTTGAATTTTTGTAAAAGTACTTTAATCGGAAGGATTTTCATAAATGGAAGAAACCAATTACAGTCACCGCACCTTACGTCTTTTTAAATCAATTTTATTGCCAATAACAAACATACTCAAGTCGATTCCCAAACAGTGTTCAAATTTCTATTCTTTTTAATATGAAAACTAAGGGTGAGTGCACCATCATTAAAGAGAGGTTGGTACCTGTGAAAAGTTTATTACCCCAAATGCTGTGCCATTAGGGTATCTTTCAGAATCCTACTCTCAGAGGCCGGCTGTCAGTTTCTCTAGCTTTTAGACAGCGAAGCATAACTTTAACAGTCAAATTATTGAAAAAAGAAGTTTACGGACATGTGGCGCACTGCTAAAGCTCTTTAATCTTTCGTAATTGTGGAAAAATTACATGTTTTTCAAATGGATATATCATTTGGGAAAAAACCTTTGATTTCTTTGCACAGGATTTCAGAGTTGAATTTCACTTCCAATGTGAATAGAAAGTTACAAAGGCTTGTTCTTGGGAAACAATTTATGGATGTCAAAAGCAAAAGATAAAGGTCGCAAGGCCACATACAGATCAGAACTGCAAATATTTTAATCTTGAACATAGGAATGTGCCAGTATTTGTATCAGGTCAAAGTAGGATTCATTTGGCTATATAATTCCACTGCTGCATTGTTACATCAAAATATGCTTTAAAAAGTTAAACCTACATTGTTGAGACAATGCAATAATGAAAAATCCAGGGGGAATCCACTAGAAAATACGAGATCTTGCAACATGTTACATTTGATACGAAGGTGTAAGATCCTAACAAAACAATTGCAGGAAAACAAGCTATTTCTACAGATGTGCTGGTTTTACCAACAAACAAAACACAGCAAATTCATATGTTTTTTCTAATTCCACTAAAAGCATTTTCAATGCGATTATCTTAAAAAAGAAATCTGGTATTTGGCAATGATTAAATATTTGGAATACACGCGTAATCGACAATCCTTTACTCTCTTACAACTACATTACAGGTAAAATTGACAAGCCCCAGTATCACCTACACACCTCTTAAGTCTTAAGGAATTCTACCTTTCTCATTGCTAATCTTAAATATATTCTAATAGTGGAAATGCGTCAACGTGTCGTCAAAGGGAAATAGCTTTGTATCACTGGGATACGTGTAGGCACGAGTATATCTTCTGTGTATTTGTTGTAACTAAATTATAATTGCCTCTGAGATACCATGGAGATGCCAGCAATGCATCACCTCTATTCTAACATCATTTCTGAATATTCTCTTCTGTTGTAAGTATGAAATCAATGCCTCAGAAGATCTGAATTCACTAAGACAAACCCACCTTTTGGGGGATGTGGAAAACTGGGTAGATATAAATCACATGTAAGAAAATGACAAAATTAACAAAAAATACAAAATTCCGGTTACAATTATGTTCTGATATTAACGTCAATAGTTAAATTTCTGAGTACCACATTGGGCACAAAGAATCGGTGATGCCATTTATACCTAAATTTTAGCAAACACTCCTATAAAACCAAGTATTATATTTTATATTACATTTTTGACTTTTTTCTTTTTTTGTTGTTCTTGTTTTTTTTCTTTTTCTTTTCTTTTGATTTTTTCTCTTTTTCCCCCTCTTGAGGGGGTGGTGTTTAGCTTTCTTGTTTCCTTTTTTTTCTTTTATTCTTATTTTTCCTCCAAGAGGTAAAGCTGGAATATTAAGGCACAATGACCCACCTGAAGGACCAGTGGGGTCAGGGGTCAAAATGGAGGGCCAGCTTCAAGTAGGGATGTCATACAAAAAGCTTTTGACCGCTAGAGGTCAATAAAACCACCGACAGCAGTTCTTTAATGACATCAGTAGTGCTGCACCAATTGTGCCAACCATCAGCTTTGTGCGTGAATTTGGTGTGGTAAAATGGCTGTTGATGACTTCGGTCGGTACAAAGGCATTGCAAGAATTTTTATGACATCCGTGGCTTCGAGCCCTATTGTTTTGCCATGTGAAATGTCATACTCCCCCCCCAAAAAAAAAATTTGGTATTTCAGATCAAAGTGGTAAATAGTTTGAAAAATTTGGACGACAAAAAGGACTCTTTGTTTCAAGAAACTCAAAAGAACTTTGGGGTTTTTTTGGGGGGGGGACTTTATGTGTTACTTGCTCTGATTTGAGTTGCACATAACCACCAACCTCATCCTGGTCACTTTATATAAGCTATCTGTGTACTTTACAAACCTCCAATATTTTTCTTCTGGTTCAGATTTTTTTTTTCTGAAACGGTTCATAGTACCCATCTGTTGCTCCGAATCTTGCATGGTCATATCCATCGTACGCTATCGTAAACTCTTTACGCATTTACTGAGTCTGATGGGATTGCCCCTTGCAATCTTAAAGCTACGTACGTGTTTATACTCAAGATGTCTTACCAATTTTGGATGCATTCACTTTTTGTACGTAATCAGATACTCGGGGTAGACCTGGGCGCGATCGAAGATGACAAAAATGAGCGGATCATTGAGGTTGTCCACACAGGAGTCAAACAGGGGACCGTGCAGCTTGCTCTTGTCTTTCAGAGGGGGCCGACGATAGGATGGGTCACCGAGGGTGTATGCCCCGACCAGGACTCGGACCAGGAACATGCGGCCCCGGCCCTCGGAGTCTGGGCTGGCGTAGCTGTCGGAGTACTTGGCGCTCTTGCTGAAGTAGCTGCCCTGGCCGTACTTGGTGCCCACCCGCGAGCCGCTGATGCGGAAGTCAAAGTTCTGCTGGCAGATGGCGGGGATGACTTTCTCCTCTGTGCCGTGGAACAGCAGCAATTCCTCTGGAGCTTTACTGGAATCTGTCTGTCTGTCCCTCATGTGACCCCGTTTCCTAATAAAACAAGTTTGGTTTGCACAGTGAGTTTGAAGCTCCCACAGGTTGGCCAATCACACTGACCAGGTAAGCTGGGGGGACCACTTGACCCCCTTTTTGTCCACTGGCCCTCAACTCTTGGTCAGAACACAATCGGCCAAGGCTTATTAGATCAGTCTAGCAATGGCTGATGTCTGAAAGTCTCATAAATGGTCTCTCCCCCCCTTTGAAAATTGTTGCACCACCATGGGTTGACTCACAATTTCCCTGTCTTTCACCTCTGTGACCTGGGTTCGAATCCCACCAAGGTCAACATGTGGATTGGATTTTCAGTCCCTGCATAATTCCATAAAATACACCTCGCTTTTCTTACCACATATAAAACTGGATGTCTCTTCATTGCCCCCTCCCAAGTTTTTTCGAGCTTGTACACAGTGCCCCGATCTTCCCTTGTACTTACACTGTAAATTCGTGCCACAGCTCATCGTTCTGCACCCTCTCAATCCTGACGATGGACTTTGGGTCCATCTTCTCAGCAAAGCGCCTGGAGACCAGCCGTTCCTCCTCCTGGTGCAGGCTGGGATCCAGCCTGCAGAGCACAAAGTTGCTCTGGGAGTCGGCCGCCACGGCGTGGGGGTCCCAGGTCTCGGGCAGGATATAGCTCAGGACCTTTTTCCGCTGCAGATTCCTGGATTGATACATGGATTAATACATGGCAGTGGTGTTGAGACCATCATGAGACCATTCAAAAGACCATGTCACAAGCAATAGAGTAAACACTGACAGAGGAATGTTTTCGTTACAGTTAATTTAAATGAGCTTACGACTTCAATTCACACTGCTGGACTTGTGGGGTCCTGTGATGGAGTTAACTGGTCTTAAGGTGTCTTTCTTATTGTCTTTCTAAAAGAGGGGCGGGCCCGCATAGCTGACCTGTCCAGCATTTCCTTGGTGACAAACTTGGGTCGTCGCCGCACCTCGCGCTTTGTACCGATCCGCTTGTTCTTCTGCAACATGCTCTGGAAATCCAGGACATAGCTGAACTCATCGGTGTCAAACTCAAAGGTGGAATCCTGTCCCGTCGACAGGAACTTCTGGTATGCCTCCTCAACTTCCTAGTAAAGTGAAGTGCGTACAGAGTAGATGCTTATGGTTTGAATTCCAAGATTGGAGGATTAAAATTCCAGACAAGCACTGAGGTATCCTAGATAAAAGGTTGGCAAAATGGAGCAAAAAAAAATATTTTATCCACAACCTGTGGAAAAATCCTGAAAGGCAGAGTTTTCCCATGGATTTGAGCCTGCTGTGCCCCACATTTTGCTAAGAAACCTTCCCATTTCAGACGGCTCGGGCAAAAAAACCGAAGAGACCTTACGGTATTTTTGGCGTACTGCACCCAGATGCTGTCATTGTCTTTGAAATGCCATTGCCAGCTGGTAGCGAGGACCTTCTGCCAGGAGTTGGCCTCGGAGGATTTCGCCGGTCTGGTCTCCACTCGACGGACTTCCATCGAGGACCACTTCATTGTCTTGAAGCAGAGAAGGGTGTCTTTGCCAAGGCTTTAGAAAAGAGTTGACCAAAACACTCAAAAAGAAGTGTATTCTGAGACAAAAATTCATGATACTTTTACTCCTCAGAACGATGGTTCCCCTGCCCCGAATGCCTCCTGAATGGAGCTGTTGTTCCACACTTGTCAAGTGCCTGAGGGCCCCCCACGACAGATACATTATCTAAACGAGATATGTCAGGCATCAAAACTTTGCCTGATAAAGGCACACACGGAACTGTTAAAAGCAGGCAAAATAAAACACAGGAAAATAACGTAATTTTTGTTTTCTGCTGTATTCTCACTTCATTTTATACTCAACTTGACGGGGATCTAGTCATTACAAGTCGAGGATTTCGGAAAGATGGACTTGTCTGAAAGTAAACAAAACTGCACAGTTCTTGTGTTCACTAACCTTGATCTGAACTTGACATACTCCACCCTGATATCACAAAACTGCTTCTCGATTTGAACGTTTACACGTGCATTAAAGTTGGTCCATGTTTGTCCGTCTGGTCTGTACTGCCACTGGTAGTGCTGCTCGCTGTGAAGCTTGCGGCAACCATCGCCAAAGTTGCACTTGCCTCGAAGATTATATTCGCAAACCTGAAATAATGATGGTACAATTTTTAAGAATGTCAACACCGCCGTCGGTGACAATCACCTTGGAGCAATTTCTGCCCTTAGTGCGGCTAGCACTCATGAGAGTCTCCTATACAAAGATGTGAGTGCACATTCAGCTAAAAATTGGTAGCGTGAAGCACATGATAAGTTCTTTTAGTAATCTGTTCATCTGTAAAGTGTAAACTTCAAATAATTATGTTGAGATCTGCTAGAAAATGAAGATATTAAACTACCACCTGGTTGACCCAAAGGCACACGAGGGTGCTTAAACATATCTACCGACACAGCACAGCCAGATATTGAAGTATTCAGATTTGGAGAGAGAGAAAAACCAAAGAACCCAGAGAAAACCCTTGTGGCAATGGGAGAACAAACAACTCTACTCACATAATGGCCCAGGGCTCGGAATCCAACCTAGGTCAACATTGGGGAGAGATGAGTGCACGCTAGATACCTGGGCTACCTACATGCACTCTACATAAAAACTTTCGAGCCATATAGAAAGAGCTGCCAAGGGCAAGAACTTGCTAACCAGGAGAATGCACTTGCTCAGCAGGAACAGGTTACCAACTAAATAGTTAATGCCAAGTAAACTGCCTCTGGCTGGTCCGGGTCGATTTTTGGTTAGCACACAATGAAATTAAGGCTATGTCCAAACTAAAAGACTGTGGCTTGAAATTACACACAACTCTATGGGAAGTGACTCGTGCGTATTTTCAAGCCAAAGCCAAATGTGACCCACTCTGCCAAAAAGGGTAATAAGTCGCACAATTCCAAAATATGTTATGGCCTGTTCTATTTGGAGAGGGCAAAATGTCTTCCTAAATGTGATTTTGTGTTTTTTCCTCTAATAGCTTGTATAACATTTATGTTTTCAGATTTTGTGACTACAAACATGGATACTGATGAATACAGATGAAAAATGGATCATTTAGTAGGAAATCCTACATAGCATTGTGTTTCCAAGTGCTACACTTTCTGAGCTTTTTCTCAAAAAGTGCTTTTATTGAATCAAAAAATGTGGATATACAAATGTCTAAATATCTCTGGAACGCAGTGCACTACAGGGGTCATTCATAAATCCAATTGTAACTTTTGATGTACTCAATCCAGCCATTTCAAAAACTGATAACCTGAATCTGGCGAATTATTACCCATTTTTCTAGAGCCGATCACAAATAATTTGAACACAAGCTATACAAACATTTCAACTTTGCAAAACAAAATTGGACCGATTGTGAATACATGGTTTAAGTACAGGCTCAACAGTGCCGTCTAAAATTCACGCGAGAAGTCCTTCAGTACAAGGTGATCAAAATTGAAAGGACGAATTACTGACTAATCCAAAATTGAAAATACCAACAGCCCGTCATACGCCCATCATACGGAGACATACCTCAGGATTGTCTGACGCAGCAGCCTGAAGGGACAGGAGCCCTTGTCGCCCATTGTCCCCATCCCCTTGCCCCTCTTGACCGTTCTTTCTCTGGAGAAGGGCGAGCAGCTGGTCATCTGACGTACTCGAAGCGATGATGCCATACCTTTTCCACACTGTTGCCTCGTGGGAGTTCCTGACATTGTGAGACAGTCGGCACTTGCCGGAGTAACGGCATTTCCCCATGGTGTAAAAACTGGTAACACAGAAACGGTTGGGTTCAACATGAATGGGCGCTTCTGCACCACTGAAACTTTGTGAAATGCACTGAACACTCAACCATTACTGGAGTGAGACAGGTCGGACGATTGTTAAAAAAGATGTGAAAAACAGTAAGTGATGGTACAGCCCACTTGTCTTTATTCATTCCAGGCATTGTTGGGAACCTTTTTAGCAGTGGAGTAGATGATTTGATCTCAAATGGTGCGAGATACATGAACCCTATAAAGGCTTGATGATTCAACCCCAACAGTTAAAAAGATTGGATAGTTCAAAACTTTGAAAAAAGAATCACCTTGAGGCAGAACAGTGGACTTAATCCGAAGGCGTGTTTTTTGGTACTCACCATGTGTTTATAATAAAGATCAATAGCGGGTTTGAAGTGGAGCACGCTGAGTACGCGAAATGAATTCATTCCTTAATGTATGGTCTCTGTGTACACGAAAAACGCGTGCAAGAACCCGCTTGGAAAACTTACAACCATCTGTCTTTATTTTGCCACTTGGGGGTGCACTTCAACCCCTGGGTGTGGATCGGACAATTTTATTGCAATGGCTCCCAGAGAATCAAGCATCATACGAAAAAATGGCATCCTCGATCTGGTCTATGAGCAATGCAAGGGGAGTTCACCCCTACCGCTTTGACTTGTTATTTTTAAATTCTCTCTCCACACAACCACCAACTGTCGACACATTTGTTTGAGGTTCAGTGAAACACACTCAGGGTCAGTTGCATCATCACCGACCTGAAACGCGCCCCCTTTGTTGAACAGTCGCTACCCAAATAAGCCTCGGTGCACTTGAGACACAGGCTCAACTTGACTAGATCTGTCCCAACCCCGACCCCAACCCTCATGAGGCAAGCTTTGCCCACTTCCGCCCCCAAACAACTTACCTGCAGATATGCAGAAAGCCACACCTATCCCCTTTAGTGCAGCCTTTGCCATTGTAATGAATACAGACAGCAGGAACGTTCTGGAAGGTGGTTGGTTTTGTGTTAAAGGAAAAAAAAAAGGAAAGTTATTGGCACGGTAAAGGAACCTTAAAGTTACCCTGATGTTAGTAGAGTTTCCTGCGTAGTTTTACATTTTTGCCATGCCTTGAGCACTCCACAGCCTGTTCTTTATGCATATCAGAGTGCCAGCCAAAACTGGATTGAGACCAGCAAGTGGTTTCTGTTGTGAATTTAAAAATCAATGTCCATTTCAATGTCATGACAAAAGTAGACTTTGCAAGAACATAGAGTGCTCTACAGATTTAAATGACAACTTGCATGCCTATTCTCAAGTGTTAATGCTTCTACAAGTCTTCAGAGCAGTTTTGACAGGCATTCTTGGGCATTCAGGGTAGGGTTATTTGGCAACATAAAATGAAAAGTCACAGAAATCTTCAACAAAAGAATGCAGCTTCAAAATGTTCGTGTTGTGAGGAAGCTGATCATTTCATCCACTTTCTTTTTAGAAGACAGCACGGGAATGTCTTCACTTAGTACACAGTGTAAATACATGTATGGTCAAACCTCATTTAAGAGCACTGTGAATTCAACATTCTGCTATATAACACAAAATATTAAGGTCCCAGCCCTTTGTTCTTCATTCTTTTTATTCCTGATAAAACAAGGTTCCTGTTACAACAAGGTAATCTGCAAAGTCCAAAAAAGACTCGACTGGAGTGAGTGTTTTTGCTTATGCTAGGTGAACACATGCCATCTTGTAACGGTATTTCAATGCGTTCATCAATCATACCCCGTCGCTCTCTCTTGCTGGGGATCTCGAGGAGGTCACTTCCTCTTCATCTTCATCCTCCTCCTCGTCCTCATCTCGCGAGGGGTTCTCCTGCATTTTCTTCTCATGGATCAGCTGGAGAAGGTCCCTTTCATTTTTTGTGACGGCATCGATGTGGAACCTCTTCCACACCTTCATGGGCTGAGGGTCTTTCAGGTTGTGGGAGTAGCGACAGCCTTGCTTGTTGGGACCGGCAAATTTGCAGTCACCCAGTACGTAGTGCCTGCCCAACCAAAGAAAGCAAAAAGGGGGGGGGAAGGGACGTAAGTAGGCTCTGGCATATTTTGCCCGAAATTTCAGGTATCCAGTTTGTAAGTGACTTTGTCACAAATGCAGACACGCCACAATTTGCAGGCTCCCATTGGACGATCGCTGAAGTTGCCCATTAATTTCCGGTTCCATGGTTCCGTGTAAATGGCGATCAATGTATGTAACTCTGTGTGCAGTGCATGTGCGGTGGGCTTGGTTTAAACTGAAGTGACGTCACACTTACGAATCAGAAAAAGCTTGTTAATGCTATCACTGATCATTTGCAGTGGCCCTACCAATGGCGGTAAATGTTGTGTGTTAGTTGCTCTGTACAAAAACTACAGAGCTCTATAAAGAACCTAGAGTGCGCACTCCACCTTCTACGCACAGAGTACTCTGTGCCGATGTGGACGCCCACCGCCATTGCCATTGTGGGCGTAAGTCACGAATGTATATAAAAAACTCTGGACTTGCAACGCCTTTGTATGAAACAGAAGCCAACCAGCGGCCGTTTTACCGAGCCGAATACAAATGTGCAGGTTGGCTTGCCATTGTACCTACTAACGCCAGGGAGAACAAAGGGTGGGCATTGCCAGGCAAGCTTTGTATTCGGCTCAGTAAAATTACCCCTAGTGGATTCAATGATCTCTATAAGCTGATTAAGGGCATTGTGAGTCCAGATTTTTTATATACGTCCTTGGCGTAAGTAAGCTAAAAGTGCCGGGAAGTGATATAAACACGTGCTGCGTTTAATTGGCAGCAACCAGAAAATGCTTCTGTGACATATCCCAGCATTATGAGCAATACGAGCACCGACCGCACGCACGCGCCTCGCATATTTGATATTCCACAGTGGCAATGGTAGCCGTTACTTCAGGACACGCGACAAGTATGCACTCCAGGTTTTTTAACAGAGCTCTGTGACTAAAACCCAACACATTGTCACTTGGCATCCATTAAGAGGGGCCATTAGAAATGTCCAGTGAAAAGTCAATGAATTTGTCTACACAAGAAATTGCCAGAAATACATAATAGTTATCTGACTGTACTGAATACGACGTTCAGACGACCAACAGTAACAGACGACCAACTGGCCTTCCTTCTTACCGACAAACATGCAAGAAATGGCAATTGCCCGTCTTGGTACAGCCCGTCTGCGTATTGTAGTGCTTGCAGACGTCAGGCACAGTGATGTCTACCCAGGTCTGTCGAAGTATCTGCCAATTAAGAATGAGCAGAAGATGACTGAAGTGGAACGTTGTTCTTTACATGACTTCTTTCTGCCGAACCTTTCTGCCGAGACAGCCCCTGCCCAAAGTCTAGGGCAGAAAGAAGTTTACAAAATGGGAACCACTGTGCCACTTTAAGGGCTACACAACTGTGCCCAGTTGGAATTTTGTGAATGTTGCAGCTTATGGCCAACACCTCCATCCAATCTGGTTTTTGCACTCTCCCCAAAGGCTTTACTGAAAACAATCGTCATGTGGGCTTAGAACATAAGCACAAACTGCCAATCAAAGAGCTTTAGGAGTGATATTGATATAGTGGAAAACCCTTGATAAGACAGCAGCACTCTCACCATAGGGGAGTTCCTGACAGTTTACGCCATTCACCAAAAAGACAGTTTCAACCAATGCCCACACAAAACCATCCGGTTTCCTCCCTGCAACCCACAAAAATACCTGCAAGATGTCATCATCGTCCAGCCCTGACAATCCGTTCTCCATCAAAACACCGAGGTTGTGGAGGGTCCGGAGATCGTGTAGCCAGCCACACTTAGCACCTCTCCGGCATTTATTTGAAACAAAGTGAATGCACAGGTGGAAGGCCCTGCAGCTGCCGCCTTCCTTGCAAAATTTCTGCTTGGAATTGTAAGATTTGCAGAGAACGGCATCCGTCTTGGCCCTTGAATAATGAATAACAGTACGCACTAATGATGGCTATTCATTTATAATGCACACATCTCCAACAGTTGTGATGGACTCGTCTAAGTGAAAGCCCTGGGTGCTGCTTTATCTTTGTTTTTGAGGCTAAGCATGTCAATCTGTGATACCCTTCCTTCAACAGTCAAGTTTAAGCCCAAAATTATTAACAATCTCTAAAAATATTTGTTAAAAATCTACAAATGCTACCTGACAGTGCATTCATCACGCTTAGAATCTTCCTCCAGACAGAAGAGTTTGACATTGTGAGGGGAGCGGACAGTCAAGAAGTGCCGAAGTTCCTGCTCGGACGAACCCTTGCCAATGCGACCGTCATCTATCAGGGCCTCGTTTAGGGCAGTGAGACTGAGGCTCCCACCGTACATGCACAGGTCTTTCAACACCGCCTGCTCCAGATCGTCTTCGCCTAGAATCTCTCTTGTGCCTTGCTCGGGTGTTTTTCGCTGATGAGGCCCAAGAAACGCCGCCATTGAGCGTGGACGCTTGTCAGCGCACATAGGTCTTATATTTGTGAAGCCTTCTGCCACGTCAGTCCCAACTCAGTCACGTCGCACTTGACGCGGATCAGATCCAGAGATTGATCGGTACCGTCTGCTAAACTATATATAACGACATGAACGACCACTAAACATGGTTCGATCACTCGAAACGGCACAGCAATTGCAAAAATATGCAGCTTCGATGATGATGTTTTACACACTGCGGCCACCGGTTACACCCAAACACATTTCTCATCAGCAGGTTAAAAGCGGCAGTGACCACATTTGGGAAATCCCCGCAATACAAGTTCGTTCCCGGGACCAACTTGGCATTGGCGAGACATTCAATCGATAGTGAACAGTACGACGTCATGGAGACGAGGTTGTTGAACCACAAGTGGATTGCATGGGTTGGGGTTTTTCCAATACACGATTTCGTCACGGTGTCTTAGTGATCGTCTCTGAAATCAACACCCGCTTTCAGGCTGTCACTGTTCAAATTAAACATAAATACTTCAACACATAAATCGTTGGCATGTAGTTCGACATGATGTTGGTTGTATTTGACATATTATTGAGCTAACAACTTAAAAATTAGAGGGTTACAAATCTGGCGGAGCCGAATCGAAGAGGAAGCATTCATTGCATCATATTATTCAAAAAAAAAGGGGGTGCCCTTATCTGGACAATTAAGGTCATATTTCATGGTGCCGATTTTGCGCCAGGCGGCCTCATATTTCGGTTTGGTGCTTAACTGGAGTGACCTATGAAGTAAATAGCTTCAAGCTTATCCAAAGTCAAAATTAGGAGATGGACGCTGTCTCTCTCACGTCTTGTCCAGGTAATAATTGCAGCCAGCTCACAGTGATGGACCAGCTGAACATGCAGTTCGGTCATTGTCATCAAGTGGCTTGAGGTTGGAGCAGTCATTCATGATGTGTTGGGCCGACTCTTCTGGCCGACCCCAGCAGTGCATGGAAGTACTAGCGAATGGACCCACCCCAGTTCTTAGATGGTGAGCGCGGCCCATTCCTTACGTAGCAACTCAGCCCCTGGTAGGAGTTTGGTGTTGGGAGCAACACACAACTGGGTGGTGTGGGACGACTGCTGCCAGACGTCTTTTCAGGAGCTGAGGATGTTGGATGCGCTGTTGTGCAGGGATGTCGCTTGATGAGAGACTATAGGTGGCAGGAGCTCAGGCGTTGACGGATAAGATGTTGTGCCCCTTCCACGCAGTTGTGGAGCAGATGCTGAGTGCCTTGCAGGGCCTTGGTTACTAATCTGGCTATGGCATGTTCTCTGCAGAGGGTGGCAGGAGCAATGCCAGGAAGCACTGATTGAAACTCGGATGACGTTGGGCACAGGCAGCCAGTGATTTATCTCAAGGTGTCGTTGAGGGTGGTGTCTAGCTTGTTTGTGTGAGGGCTCCAACACCATACTAGGGCAGCAGATGGACGCTGCAAGTTTTCTTGTGTGTTGTTAATTAGTGTTTCATAATATGACACGCTGCTATATTGTACTGTATCTTCATGGGTCCTCGGGCTCAGTTTTCTCCTTACAGACCAAATCCACAGAGTGCTTACTATAGGTTGCAGCACGCAACGGCACATCACAGAGACTAACCATCTTGTGAATACCTAACTTTCAGAGATTATTCAAGACTCACCTCCACTACAAATACTGTGTGGATGGCATTAATTCCCGCACTGTAAATGCCAGTTCATACTTGCACGAAAGCGAATACAAACGGGAATTTTGTGACGCCAGATCAAATATATTCACACCACGATTTTGTAAAAATTGAACACATTTCGACTTCATCGAAATTTCGCTGCAAATTCTTTATGAACCGGCCTTTATGAACCGGCCTTTAGTCACCCAAAGTGGTGAGGCAAGTCAAAAAAATGAGGAAAAGATGGATGGGGTTGCAGTCAAAAGTACGCTAGTTCGTGGGGATTCTGGCTTGACTGTGTCTGGGTGGGGGGGTAAAAGTACACAAGAAGAGGCCATTTGGTGCCCGTGGTTAAAGAAAGAATTCAATATATGTCATTCAACGCACAAATGATCTTCAACATCACAAAGGAAGGGGCACATTCATGGGACTCGTAGGATTAACGATTAACCAACACATGAAAAAAAACACAAGTTTATGAACTAAATGTGAAAAAAATATTGCCATTTATTACATTATTTACAATGTCATCAAATCATGCAACAGTAAGAATTGAGGGACCGTAACAAAAAAGTAGATGTACAACAAGGCAAAAGAGCAATGACAGCTAGAAACTGAAAAATTCAACCTCTGTTCACTTTGTTTGCTCACCTCTAAGAATGTCAGAGTGAACATGAATACAAACTGGGCGAACAAGAGTACTAACACTTCTTCCGTCAGAATAACTGCAAAGTGATGAAAAAAATAAAGACCGATGAAAATTGTTCTATCCCACAAAAAGTTGCGACCAGAGAGGACATTTTGTCCAAAAAACAAGGAGAATGAGCACAAAAACGGTGTTTTTGATTGATGTTCTTAGCCTTACTCTGACTTTTTTTGGGGGGGGTTATAACAGTCCACATAAACTCACCTTCTAACTTCGAAAAAAGTCTCAAATTGGTCACTTTTATTCAAGCAACTTGCTTTGGAGATTGCGGAAATGTGATCGTGCGAGTCCAGTTGACTTTCATATTCAATGTTTAATTTTTCAGTTGTGTCCTCAGCTGGACTGTCTTCATGCAAGTCGTAAAGGAGCCCACCATCGTAGTCTAAGTTGGCACAGCACTGTGTGGCTTAGGGTGACGGCTTTCGACCTTCCCAGGACCTGGATGGCCTTTACCAGCCTCAAGATTGTCCCGCTTGTTCGGGGACGGGAAGTCGTAATAGCAGAGAATGACTATGACCTCCATTAAGATGAATAGAATGCACATCAGAAGCTGCAATACAGATTTGACAGACGCAAAGTTAGAGCGAGATTTTAAAAAACAGGCAAACTGTCATATTCCTCACCCCAGGCCCTGAGAACTTGTTAACATGAAATGGACCAATGTAGAAGTTGCAGAGGTTGAGAGGTAGGTTGAGGGCTGGGCCCAGCAAGAGACCAACTTGCCTGAACGCTGCAGCAACAGACAAGGCGGTCGTTCTATCCTTCTCTGTTGACGTTCTTTGACAAGATGTGAGCATAAACGGATGAGCCCACTCCAGAACCAACCCGTAAAAGAAAAGCAAGTGCTTGTATTGATCACAAGGACTGCATTAAGAAGTACTAAAGAAGTTTGGACGTCTCGGTTTCATGTGCCAGTCTAAAGTGTACTTATATTGCAAGTTTTCTTGAGACAAAATTTACATGTATGTTGTAAGAATTCTAATAAACCCAATCGAAAGTTCAACATGCTTGGAACAATGGTAAACTTACCTGAGATTAGCCTACTGCACAATAAAATGTATTTTGAGTTTCCATAGAAGTACAGAAAATTACCTAAGGAAAAGGAAAAACAGAACTATTAATAGGATTAAGTGAATACTTTTCTTTGTTCACTGTTTGAGAGGCTTTGCATACATGTGTATGTTAGGGGGCTGGGTTGGGTCGGGCAGGGTTGGGTTGGCCAGGGTTGGGTTGGGCTGAGATGAGCTGGGTTAAATTGGGTTGGGTTGCGCTGGGTTGGGTTGGCCAGGGTTGGGTTAGGCAGGGTTGGGCTGGGCAGGGTTGGGTTGCGTGGGTTGAGCTTGCCGGCTACAACTTTTGTACATGTTCTAATATTACCATATTCAATTCCAACTAGGAGAAAAAAGACACACTGTGCTACACTTGTAAGGCGCCTTTTGTTCTAAAATTCAGCCTCATCATTTAAAAACCTCGTTTAAAATTGCTCTAACAAAGTTTTATGCTTCACATAGAGGCTGAAGTTACTAAATAATAATATTATTAATAGGCGATCAGACCCCGGAAATGTCGGTAAATCTTGGTTCTTTTGGTTCTTTTTGCTGCTTAATTTTAATTCTGCGAGAAGAGATGCCGAAAAAAAGACGCAGCGACGTCTTCTACGTTGGCCTAGGTGAGGAATAAAAATGTTCGAGAGAGGGCGCGCTTGAAATAGCTCATAGGAATTCGTCTGCTGCTATTTAGTATTCACAACATGCCCGATTTTATTCAAGTATTCCTTTGTCTTTCTGTTACCAGTGGTAATCTTTCCCTTACACGAGGATGGTCAGATATTTAATACACTTTCAGTACATCGGCACAAAGTATTGGTGAGTGATCTGTCGGTGATTTCTCGTTTTTCGTTTTTGTCATGTTTCTTTAAGCCTAATTTAAGGCGGCGTCCTGCCATGCAATGATGCGCCGTGTCTTTGGAACAGTCCCAACTGTAGTGCTGCAGTTGGGCTGGCCCAACTATTGTTGACCATTGCCTGTGGGAAATGTCTCAACATTACCAAGTACAAGTCAATGTGTCTCACACTTGACACAATTCATCAAAAATGTGACACTTAGCCCTATGACCAATGACATGACATTTGTAAACAATATGACTTTGGCACATGCTGGGCACATCATGCATACAGGACCTCTCTACTGTAGTTGGGCCGGCCCAACTGTAGCACTCTAGTTGGGACGGGTCCAACTATAGTTGGGACTGATGCTATAGTTGGGGCGTAACATCTTCAAAGTGTCAGTGTACACGTGGAAATTGCATTGCACCTAGCCACGAACCTATAGCAAGGTTCAAGGAACAGTTCCCTTGCTGTATGCCGCGAAGTACATGTATTGTATGTTGGTGATACTCAGGTTTTCATTGTTAGTTACCTGTTTTCTGGTCACTATGCATGTTAATTTAATTGGTCTTGGGTGCTGAAAAATGGTGTGCACTAGCCCCACTAGTATGGCACGGATCACTCCCAATTTAAGGATACATCGGGAGTGTTCCATGCCACACTAGTGCCAGTGGGGCTAGGTGTGCACATGAATGAATGTAAGGCCTATTGCTTGATAACTCTGCTTTACAATGACTTCTGAGTATGAATTCGAGGACATGACTTTGCGCGACCTTGGGTCAGTGCGAGGTGAAAATAAATGCATTTTACGTTGACAAAAGTGTGTTCACCTCGGGTTGTTTTCACCGCACTGGCCGAAAGTCATGCACAAATCGCATCCTAATAGAAACCAGGTCATACCATGTCATGCAGGGAGGCCTACTGAAGTTATTATTAACACTGCTCACTGGGCCTTAGCTTGAAGTTAAATTAAACACTCTTACTATAGAAGGCTAATTTGTTAGGTGTAATCAGTCGAAAATTGCTTGACAGGCTAGATCGTTCGATCTTTGCATGATCTCTTGATCTTACTGCCACTGATTGCATGATTTGCCTATAATTCTGTCGCCAGAAAATTGCCTTTTCTTTTCTAAATTCTAGTTCGCTGTTGTGAAAGATTGTTTTGACACAGGGAAGTAACGGAAGCTCAAGATTTCAAACAGGATTGACTGATTCTACTAGCGCACCACTATCGCATGACAGGGTGATCAACCAGTTGCCCCCATCATATTCACTTGTGTGAATTCAGTCATTGTCTTCAAACTTCCTTTTTGTTTTATTTGAATTTGTCTCATTCCTTTTTTAGTGGTGTTGTGAGAGCACCCAAGGATACCTTAGCTACATCAGGAAAAATCGGTGTGCAGGACGCTATTGAGGTAAGAGCATAACTGGGGATCCTTACCTTTCAAATAAAGGTTCATACACGGACTAGTGGTGTAGCAAAGACATTTTCTTGGAGGGGGTATCCCAGAGTCAATTTGCTGACTTGTTCGCCAACCTTGGGTTGTGTAAAATTCAGGGGAAATGCCGATGGCTAACGTATCGTTTACGTACTAATTTTGGATTCAATTGCCAACTGAAGCTTTATTTGCCAACTGGAATTAATTATTGGTGGGGTGCCGCATCCCCTCCCCATGCCCCCCAGTCGCTACACCCCTGACACGGACATCACTTGACACCCTGTGCACAGACCCTGTAAAATATGAAAAGTATTTTCCTAGTAAATGCTTCAGTATTTTCCAGATTAAATTTGACTCTTTAGGACATGTTATCGCTTTCTGGTGGCTGATATACCACTCTGTAGGGGAAAATTTGAGATGCATCACAGTGTGTGAAACTCATCCGTGAGGGCGCCAACACAGAGAGCAATTTTTGTGACAATTCAGTGACAATGGCGTCTACTCATGTGCATCACACAGGAACAATAGCCTCCCCCCCCACAATGGTGCATCGTGTAAGCACTCTGTGGGCAATTTGTGCAACTGGAAACTAAAAGAGTTACATTTTGTTTCCAAAATATGACCACGGAACACCGATTCATTTTAACGTAAGAGACTCTCAATTATGAAATTGCTCACTGATATTTATTGACCTTCATCTCCTTAGAAAGCGTTAGCACGGCTTAACCCGTACCAGCCAACCAAGATACACGTATCGAGTCGCACAGATGCCGGGGTACACGCCCTGTGCAACACGGCGCATTTCGATCTGGTGCGTCCGCCCAACAAACCGCCAGCATTCCACGACCAGAGCCTCTGTCTAGGTCTCAACTCGTTCATTGACAGAAGTGAGCAAGTAAGGTAGGAAGTAATTTAATGCCAACGCAACATAATTCAGACTCGGTCCACAGCCCTACCCCCCCACCACCTCAACCCCTTCAGCTCCGTAGACCTTGTATCCATGTGCCTACCCCCCACCTGTGACTTTCAGAAACAGTCCACTGGCACTCGTTACAATTCAGTTTGAGGGGCAGATTTAGAACAGGGTCAGCCCCCTAACCAACTAAGCACAAAGAGAAAAGGGGTGTTCTGCATGACAAAAATGTGTGACCACCAAGGATGTGGCCTGCATCTAGAGAAACGTTAGAATCCCTCTTGACATGGCCAAGAGATTTTCAGAGATAACGTCAGAGCACTACAGACACGTGAGAAGACTTCTAGCAGCAGTTTTCCCAGGTAAAAAGGAACACATTTAACACTTGAGAAAACCCCAGTGTCACTTGGATCATACCCCGTTACCTTGTCGATGCTTCAAGTTTGAAGAAAAAAAGCACCTCCCCCAAAACTGCATTTCTTCACACACACTCACTTATTAGGACTCCACTAGCCTCACAGTGAGTCCTGCGATAGAATTTGTGCACAAACCTCTTGACTGCTACTCTGTCCAGGGTTATGAGAGCCAGAAGAGTGCCCGACAATTTCCACTGCCAGCACCGTGCCGTCAGCAGGAGTTACCTCTACAGGATAGCAGCCGGCTGCACCCATCGCAACTTGCCCATCACGGAGAGGGACAGATGCTGGCCTGTTAGCCCAAAGTGAGTGAGTGCCAGGAATGTGAGTCACCGAGCAAACAAGACTCGCTGAGTCCGAACTAAAGTCTGAGTTTAGCTTGTGTCTCTTGCGTTGTCAGTTGTTGTTAAAAATGAATTTCTGAGAGAAAGATTGAGATCAAAATATCACACTTTTTTAAAATGTCCGGCCCCCCCTATGTTATGAGAAGATTGATTTGAGATCGCTCCAAAGCAAATAACAGCCCGTTTTTAC